TTTTGGCAGTCAATGGCATATTTAATATTCTTTGCCAATGCCATAATTCAAATGCATCAATTATTTTCTTCAGTATTCCTTATTCATTTTCCATGCATATGAGGCCATTGAAAATACCATGGCATGAGTCAAGTGAACCTCTTGAAGTCAAGTCTTCAAAGAAACATCTTTACTCTTTTAACACTGTGAAGAGATTTGCCCAATGCAATACTACTGTATGATTATCCTACAGCACCACACCAGGACTGCTCCTTAGGAGTGTAAATAATTTTTAAGACATGCAGCAGCAACTCTATCCCATAAAGGAAGGAGGAATCTGGACCCTCCTATTCTCTCTGAACTACCTTAGAAGGTACCCATTATTGTCCAAGGAGAAGAGGCAATCAGGACCTGTTAAGAGCCATAAAGTCAGTTTTTACTCATAGCATCCTTGCTTAGGGTTTCCAAAAAGTGATTGGTGGATTTGAACCACCAACCTTGTGGTTAGCAGTCCAGTGCTTATCTGACAGCACCACACCAGGACTCCAATCAAGCCCTTATCAGAGTTAACTGGGAAATGGGCCCATCCCATAAACTGGTGCTTCCATAATTCTGAAGGAATAGATGAGACTACTTAGACCAATTCCAATCCAGCACTCCTGGGACAAGTGGGCTATGTCATAGTGGGATTTGAGCCCTAAAGGATATATCCCAGGACACCTAAATGACAGGAATTCTTGGTGGAACTTACCACAAAGGGAATGAAAATATTTCTCTGAAAGTATCCTGGGAAGTTGTAAATAGACAAGATTAACATGGACCAGCATTAGCCGCTAAAACTCATTCTTAGCAGACACAGACAGTAGTCTGAAAGGCAATGAAGCTACAGGAACAGCAGACTGATGGGCTCTTACTCTTCTGTCCTGGATAAGGAAGTCAGAAACCTTTCCATATCCCTTAGATAGGGGGACATATATGGAGTTCCTGGGTGATGCAAGCAGTTAACATTCTCAGTTGTTGAACAAAAGGCTGAAAGTTCAAGTCCATCCAGAAAAACTTTAAAAGAAAAGCCTGGTAATCTAATTTTGTAAAATCAGCCATTAAAATCCTATGGAGTTCAGGACCACGGTCTTGTCGGACAACTCAGTTAATTGGCATAACATAGTTTGTAAACGAATATTCTACCTTCCATTGTAATGAGTTGAATCCTGGGGTCTTAAAAGCTTGTTAGCAGCTATTTAAGATAGAACTATTGGTCTCTCCTTGTCCAGAAAAAAGAGAAAGCAGGAAGCCAAAGATTAAAATGAAAAAAAAAAAAAAAAGTATTCAACAGGATGAATATAGCCACAACCTTATCTAACCTGAAATCAAAAGCACTAGATGGTGTCTGACAACCATTACCAACATTCTGATCACAGCCACAACAGATGGATCCTGATAGAACAACAACAACAAAATACATGGAACAGAACTCAAATTCTTAAAAATTCCAAATTTATGGGACCAGTTGACACTAGGGGACTTTCTGAAACTATTGCCTTTAGATAATTTTTAAACCTTAAATTGAAGTTATCCCTTGAGGCTACTTTTGAACTAAATTACAGATTGGCTCATAAAATTAAAAAATGTAAAAACATCACCCATGAATCATAAACTCCTCTAAAAAATCATCTCTATGAGACCAAAGGGTCAAAACATTACTCTAAAGCAAAGATGAGATGGTAAAGAGAAAGGGAAAGTAGAATACTGGAAATGGTACAGCTAGAATGGAAATAATGAAAGTGTTGACACTTTATGAGGATTACAGCCAATGTCACTGAATAATTTGTGTAGAAATTGCATGAGAACCTAGTTTGTTGTGTAAGCTGTCACCTTAAACACGACATTGTTTAAAACAACAACAACAACAACAAAAAACCTGTGGAGCATATTTCTACTCTGACACATACGGCGTCACCACAATGAACTCAATGGCAACTAGTTCCTTTTTTATAGAGCCAAGATAATCCTAAACAGTCCTGCTGTCCAAAATTCAGTTTTGTTCTTCAGAATTTTATAATGAAAAACTATAATCATTGTAGTTATAGGTATATAGTTAAAACTCTCAATAAATAAAGGTTATCCACATGCAATAATGATCATCATGGGGTCCTGGTATGGTGCTGGAAGATAAACACTGGATTGCTAACTCCAAGGTTAATGGTTCAAACCCACCAGTCACTCCTTGGACACTGTATACAGGGTTGCTATGAGTCGGAAGCAATTTGACAGCACTTAACAACAACAATGCTCATTATTAACATGACTCTGTTCTTTCTGCTCAGGATAAACATTCATGAATTTGCAAGATGAGAAAAAATGTTCCTAAATTCATCAGTTCCTTATCAGAGCCCTAATTTTACATTTATTAGATACAGAAATAGTTTAGATATAAAACTACTCTGTATGTATTAAAGAAACGTGGTTAACTGGGAAGTTGTGAAAACGTCCTCATAGTTTATTCAATATCATACAGCAAATAGCAAGTAAAGAGTGGAACAAAAAAGTGATCCAGTAAGAGCTGCACAAGTCCCTCATAGTACATTGCACTGTCTAAACACAGAAATAGAAGGGAGAAGGAAAAGACCCATGAGATCATTGGCCCTTACAGCCAAGGACTGTTACTTACAATGTTATCGTATCTCTGGTTCTGGAGGCTCCTTCCAGTCACTACAGCTAATTTCTAGACAGAGGAATGTGACTTAGAACCAGGGAAACTTGACTAGGCCCTCTCCTTTTAGTGTCTTTGATAACATACTGGAGAGCAGAGTTAGGTTTCGAATCTACTGAAATCTTCCATAAAAGGAGTTTAAATGCAGGCTACATACCATCCAAAAGCTCCCCACAGAAATTCCTATTATGTACATGGAAGGGGGAATGCAGCAAGTTCCATCTGGCTGGGCAGGGAACATTCTCTACTTAGTGAAACTTTGTGGTTCTTGAGTTTAGTGCCAACTACGTGTTCACACTAGACCAGGGCCCTGAACACAGAGGTGTAGGTATACTGGAAAATGAGCTAGATGGAGCAGCAGTACTGTACAATTCTTTTGTTACTAAAACATCAAAACCACAAGGCAAGATATTAGTAACGGCATCCTTTTTATAAAGGCTCTAACAGTTATGAGCCAAAATTATGGCTGATGTTACTCAGGGTTGCTATAGCAAAATAGTGTGGCATTATCTTTTTCTACCAGTCTCCTATCGATACACAAACAAAAACCAAAAACAGGATGAGATTCTTCACTAGTGACTCTCATTCTGAGGAGCTGACTGTCTCAGGGAAACCTCAAAACGTTAGCGCAAGTGTACAGTGGAATTAGCCTTATTAAGAAATAAAGGCACAAATGGATGAGGTGACTCAGCTCAAATGCTACCTCCTCAAAAAGGGCTCTGCTGACAAGTCCTGTACTTCCCTCTTCTCTAGGCAGTAACTTCTAGTTACTCTGTAACATGCTACCTTTGATAATCATCAGAAGCTCGGTCCTGTGCATTTGTGCATATGTATGCCCTCCTCCCAGTTAGAATTTGGACTCCAGAATTGAGGAACTTTGCATGGTCCATTACTCTGTTCCTAACACCCAGAGATAGGCTGACGCAGAGCAGGCCCTCCAGGAGATCTGACTGACTGCTTTCTTAACTGACAAAGAACGACAGCTTCAAATATCTCTAACCAGTGTTTCATGGAGTCCAGAAAAACCAGTATTCACAGCAATTCATCAAAAATATCACACATTGGAGAAACAGTGACGTCAGAGATGGAGGCAGAGACGATGACGTCTTTGGTGGTTGATGATGCATGGAGGGGATTGTAACTATGGCAATGAAGTGATATACGATAGGATGAATGTAAAGCTAATGTTCTCCCATGTAAACTATCACATTGTTGTTGCTGTTGTTAAGTGTCATCGAGTTGGTTCTGATCCATAGTGACCCTGTATAAGGTTTCCTAGGAGCAGCTGGTGAGCTTGAACCACCGATCCTGCAGTTCAAACAGCTTTGCAGTCTGGCACATTAACTCACAGCGCCATACCAGGACTCCTAAACTATCACATAATTCACAATAAAACATTTTATATATATATATATATATATATATATTTTTTTTTTTTTTTTTTTTTTAAAAAAGAAGAAGAAGAAGCAAGCTGTTCACCAGGAAGCCATCAAGGCAAGCAATCAAGTTCCTCCAGGGCCAACCCTTGTAAAACTGAAACTCAAAAACAAAATCACACATTGGAAGAAAACATTTCTCTTTTCCTTCTGTATAGGCATGTTGTTGTTAATAATATTAATTAAATCTATACCTAGAAGCCTAGTAGCCTGAAACAATGCCACTCCAAGTGTGGTCCATGGGCCAACAGCATCAACATCACTTGGCAGCAAATACTGGGGCACACCCCAGACCCAATGAATCAGAATATCTGGTGTGGTGTGCCCCAGAAACCTGCATTTTCATAATCTGTGTTTTAAGGATGCAAGTGATTCATATACTTGCGAATGTTTGAGAACCATTGATTAGGGAAAAAAACGATTAGATTACAAGTGACAATGCCAGCAATCTTAAATGAGTAACTTATGCAAAATGAAGGTGGGAATAAACCAGAAACGTCATAAAGATTAGGATTTTGCTGGGGATAACTTGCACATTTTTGCTGGCAATTAGGTTTTTAAAAGTAAAGGAGAAGGAAGGATTATGTACATGAATATACAGCACTCTCAATGCTGCCAACGCTTACCCTGAGATCATCGGCTCCCATTCTGTCTCACCAAGGCTTCTAGATCTGACTACATAACCAGCAGGTAGACCACACCCCATTTCTACAAAACTCTCACTTGGCTTGCTTACCCTGGCCTTTCCAGCATTAACACATCCTTGGGGCAGCACCATCTGTGGCTCTCTCTAGGAGTCAATGTAACAGATGACTGACCAGGACAACTCCGAAAACGCAGCCCTATATGGGAAGCCAGGGATAAAGAAGCCATACCATGATTTAGATGTCTGATGCAGTCACTCAGGAGCGCACTAAACTTCTTCTGGTCCACAGCCTCCTGGAAGCAGAAGTAGGCGTGTCTGATGTAAGGCTGCCACAGGTACACCGGGAATTCCTTTGGTAGGACCACAAAGGGCTGAGCATTTTCCTTCTCATTGGATGCTAAAGATTATTGAAAACATAAATATGTTTTAAAATGTGTATCTTCTATTTCAAAGGACCCCTAGTGGCACAATGGTTAACTGCTTGACTCCAAACCTTGTTGTTGTTAAGTGCCGTGGAGTGTGTTCATTGATTCCATGGCATATTGTTCCTGCAGCCATATCGCCCTTTTCTTCTTCCCTTCTATCATGTGTTGCTGTTGCTGTTGCTACTGTTGTTAAGTGTTGTTGAGTCGGTTCCGACTCATAGCAACCCTGTATAGGGTTTCCAGGGAGTAGCTGGTGGGCTTGAACTGCCGACCTTGTGGCTATCAGTCCCTTAGCCTACAGCATCACACCAGGACTCGTCTATCATGTTTGCACATAGCAAATTCCCATTCATTTTTCAAAAGTCCATTTAAAGCCACCTTCTCTGAGATGCCTTTGCTGGCACCTTGCCCTGCCACCAGACACAGTATAAGTGTTCTCTATTTTGTTCTTCCAAAATATTGTAATGACTTGTTTCCATGTGTGGCACCTGGACCCTAGAAGGGAGGTGGAGAATAAGATAGACTGCCCTCCCCAGGAAGAGAACCACTCCCCTGGACTGGAACTGCTAACGTATGGAGACTATCTTCCTTACATTTGTACTTTCATGGACCTAGTAGTTGTTCAAACTGCAGTTTGGTGAATAAATGAATGTGCTGTGTCATCTTAGGAATTCTTAAAAGCTTAAAACAGTGCTTCTTTTACCTCTTCCCTCAAAATTAATTCCAAGAAATTCATCCTACTCATCAGATCTTCCACCTAAACCTCATTCCCTTCTAAGGATCCCAGTTACGTGAGTATGATATTGCACTTGGTTAAATGATCCCTAGTTTTTTCCTGCAGTCATGGAGACCAATAATAAGAAGCAGTGACTTCTATGCTTCTTTCCTACACCCTGAGCTCTCACCTCAGGGCCTCTCTGAGGCAAGTGAAAGCACCGGACATTCCAAAAAACAGATCATAACCACCAGGCAGGCTCCAAAACAGAGTCATAGTACTGGAAAACTAATAAATCAGGATTCGCTAAGACCAAGAATAGACTTTCTGGGGAATATGTGGAGCCTTGTTCCAGTGTCCTGAAATCTGACGTTATTAGTGGAATGTGCTAGAAGCACAACTGTGGTCCAGCAATACTAAGCCCATATAAATGAATCAGTGTCTGAACAGACAGACAATTGACTGAACGACTGAATGCTGTAACAAAGACCAGTCGTTCTAACTCATTACTTATTCTCCCTTTCTCTCAGTAATAAGACCCCTGTTTTAAATTGGGCAAGTTGATGCATAGAATACAGATTACATGTCCAGCCTCCACTACAGCTTGGTATGCCCACAGCTATGACATTTTAACCAGTGAGATGCAAACAATGGTATGTGAAACTTGCTGTGAGTATTCTTAAGGAGGGAATGTGCCTTTTCTCCTTCCTGTCTTCTAGGATGAGGAAGCTAGAGCTGGTACTCCAGAAGCCACCTTGGACTATGCCAATAAGGGCCAAACCTGGAAGTCATGGAGAAACCTGATACCAGGCTGACTCCCTGACAAATTTGCAGAACTGCCACACCATCTCTTGATTGTTGATGCCCAAATATTTCTCATGAACTAATTATATCTTCATGAGAAATATGTAGGCATTAACAATCAAGAGATGGTATGGCAGTTCTGCAAATTTGGAGCTCTGGTAGCGTAGTGGTTATGAATTGGGCTGCTAACCTCCAGGTCAGCAGTTTGAAACTATCAGCTGTTCCAAGGGAGAAAGATGAGGCTTTCTGCTCCCGTAAAGATTTACAGCCTCGGAAACTCTTTACAGGGTCGCTATGAGTCGGAACTGACTCCACGGCACAGAACAACACTAACAATTATATCTTACATGTTTAATTTGAGGTTTTTATTGCATGTAGCAAACCAGACTCTAGTTAATAAAATGCCAAGGAATCACTTTAGGAAAATAGCTAAACATGGGGCCCTTTTTATGTATCATCTTAACAAACACTCCATAAAGAAGATGTATTTATTCATAACATCCAGCACTTTTTTTTTTCCAAGTGAAGCTAATTCTTCCCTTTAGTCGATCCAGTAGAAATAGTACCACACAGTGAGTCTTGTTGATGAGCATGGTTTTATAAAACAATTCTCCCTGCCCTTTCCAAGATGCCACAATTTTTCACAAGGTGAAAGCAATGCTAATCCTTCGTACTGGAAAGCTGCAGGTCCCATAAGATCCACTCAAAATGGCCTCTGGTTATCTCTTACTTAACCTCTGACAGCAATTTTCCAGATATTATCTGGCAGCATTTTTTCTGAGTTGAGTTACAAGGATACCACAAATGATCTAGTGTGGAATAGCCTATTTTTAAAATTTAGAAGGTCACACCAGGCAATTAAAAAAAAAGCCATTGAAATGCCCTAGTCTGAAACTCTAGGCCAACTGGTATTTGTCACACAGGCCTTGTGCCTCTGGTTCCTTTTCATTCCTTCTGACAGGATTTCATCAATAAATCAATAAACACATTGTTTGTTCTGACTGATTTCATTGGAAAATTCTTTTGGAGAGATTCTGAACTGTTGGTATTCCCATGTTGGTACTCCCATTTTTAGCTCCACAGCCAAGACAGCACATAAGTAGAATTCAAGTGAGAAAACCATGTGTAAAATAATACATATTAAGTGTTGTTTTAGCTTGAATTACTTAGCAACATTGTTTTAATATGGCTTTATGGTCCATGTACTAATCCTATAACTGTGCTATTAAAAATGCTATGTTAAGCAATTCTATACCAAAATAACAATTGGTAAAATGATTATTTTCTCCATAAATTCTAATGAAATGATTATATCCACTAATAAGAACCACAGCTCTCTTCAAGAAACCAAGTAATTGCTGTGTGGTATGATTTACACACAGCCAGATGGAGTTGTTACATTATCTACAGTTCATAAATTTCTATGAAATGCTTTATTTGGTCTATATATTATACCCATCACTTTCACAACACGGGAAAATTGAAATGAATGAAAATCAAAGGATGTTGAAAAGATCCTTACAGATTTTTAAATTCAAGCCCCCATTTTAGAGCAAGAGAAACAAAACTCCAGAGAGGTTCAGCAGCCTGTTAAGGTAATATAGTTGATAAATGGCATTTAGAACCAGCTAAAAATCCAGTCTATTGATTTAATGATTTCATGACATTGAACTATTATTTATGTATATGACAACTAATGCAATGCTATTTTTAATCTGCAGTAGCTATGAGTTATTACAACACTTGTTTATTATATTTTGTCAGTTTAGGATATTTTATAGTCTGCAATTGTTGTTGTTAAGTGTGTTTGAGTTGGTTCTGACTAATAAAAACCCTGTATAGGGTTTCCAAGGATCAGCTGGTGAATTTGAACACCTAACCTTAAGGTCAACAGTCCAGTGCTTATTCTACAGCACCATACCAAGACCCCCATTTTCTTGTCCAGCACCTAAAAATTAGAAAAAATCGCATTCCCAAATAGTTCGAGGCTTGCTTACAGAAAAATAGGATTGGTGGTGTCGTGGACTGAGCCCTACCCATTGCTTATTTCTGTTGCCCTGTGTGGTGTTATCAAAGCCTGCAATATATTCCAAATGTCCCCAAGATATCTGGCCAAATATACATTTTCCCATGCATAGAAACACAGTAACTTATTGAATATGTTTGAAAATGATAAAAGTGGTACAATGTTATTCTAATTTAAAGAACTCAGACCTTTCATTGGTCTATATAAGGTGTGGGTCTATCCTACAGGTTCTCAGCCTCCGTGGACAATTCTCCATTGTTGGGACTGACCTGTGCATTATAAGATATGTAGCAGCATCCCTGGCCTCTGTCTACTAGACCTTTGTAAAGTTCTCACCACTCTATCCCTCAAGTTCTAATGACAGAAACTGTCTCTAGACATTGCCAAATGTCCCTAGAGGATGAAATCCACCCTCAGCCTCACCTCCTTATTTCTCCTCCACCACCCCTGTTGAGATGGAGTCCTGGTGTGGCTCTGTGTTTTAATGACTTTGCCAAACTGCAAAGTCGTTTGAACTGCAAGGTTGGTGGTACAAGCTCACCAGTTGCTCCTCGGAAACCCTATACAGGGTTGCTATGGGTCAGAATCAACTCAACAGCACTTAACAACAACAACCCCTGTGAGAAACTCTAATCTAGCTAAACAAAGCATATTTAGAAATTTTTACTTAGAAAAAAGTGCTCAGTCACTCACCATTTTAAAAACAAAACACTGCCATTGAGTTGATTCCAACTCATAGTGAACCTGTATAGGGTTTCTGAGAGAACATAAAGCCTCATATTTCTCCTGCAGAGAAAATTTGAACTGCTGACCTTGCAGTTAGCAGTCCAGTGCTTATCTTATAGTGTCACCAGGATTCCTTCACTAACCAATGATAATGGTGGTGATAATGGTATGATGTGGAGTCGGTTCCAACTCACAGTGACCCTCTACAGGGTTTCCAAGGCTGTAAATCTTTATGGGAACAGAAGCCCTCATCTTTCTCCTGAGGAGCGACTGGTAGGCTTGAACTACTGATCTTGCAGTTAGCAGTCCAGTGCTTATCCTTCAGCGCCACCAGTGTTCCTTTACTTACCAATGGGGTCTGGGAAATGCCGATCCGATAGCAAATTATATTCTTCTTCTGAGGTTAACACCTTCCCACTGGCCGGAAGAATTCGGTTTTTAGGAGCAGCTCCCTTCTGATAGGCCTGAAGAAGGAAAGGCATAAATGAATTTTGTTTTACCTCACCTATCTTTTTAGGAAATACGAGGAATATGAAGACTACACAGAACCAGACACAAATACTCAGAGACAGTGATCCCTACATTGCATCAGTGAGTTGTTGTTGTTGTTGTTGTTAAGTGCCGTCGAGTCGGTTCCGACCCATAGAGACCCTGTACAGGGTTTCCGAGGGTGTAAATCTTTACGGGAATAGAAAGCCTCATCTTTCTCCTGCGGAGCGGCTGGTAGTTTCGAACCGCTGACCTTAAGGTTCACAGCCCGATTCTTAACCACAGATCTATTTGGTCTACCTGCTAACTTGCAAGATAGTTCTTCAGTCCTTCTGAAGGTTGTTGTGTTTGCTGTTAAATGCCATTGAGTCGGTTCCCACCCATAGTTACCCTGTACAGCATTTCTGAGGTGTGGCTGGTGAGCTTGAACTGCTAACCTTGCAGTTTAAAAAGGCTTTGTGATCCAGTGCATTAACCCACAGCACCACACCAGGCACAGTGTGGTAAATCACGGACCCTAATCTCAGGCAGATTTACTGTAGATATTTTTCACAAACAGGAAAAACATAATTTTAACAACGTCTAGATATTCCACAATGCACTTAGCATTTCAGACTTGAACGCCTGAACCAATCTGATAATAACCACAAGGGTGATGATGCACAATGACACTTAGTACATGGAACACTTGGTGATGGGTGTGGGCCATGATGATGACTAATGAGAGACTGCACAACATGTAACTGAAATTATGGTTGCCATGGATTTGTGCCAAAAACCTTATAATGTTGCCATGGTAAAATATACCATCACTTGGCCCTCAGATGTGAGACTGTTTGTGCAGCAAAATAACCTGAGATTGGGGGAAAGTGGCGTCACATCAGAACAGACTCTGGCCAGCTGACAAGAAGCTTCATTGCTTGGGTAATGTAAGAATGACCCAGCCCATTGCTAAAACAGTCTGTTAAGCAGATATACCCACAAGGACATGGAGAGATGGGATAAAAATTAAGTATGTGCTTCTGACGGGAATGTTCAAGACAAGGCACAATTTTAAAACTAGAAACCTAAAGGCAAGCTGATAATTAAAGCCAAGTGGAATAAAAGCCCAGAGTACACTCTTGGAAATAATCAAAATAATGTTGATCAAGGAAACAAAATTGGAACAACAGCAACATAGTATTTTCTGCATTAGTAAGACAGTAATAGAGATCCAAACATAAACTTGTGTGTATACAAGGTGCTTCTTTTCATACTCATTGAAAGAACCACTAATCCACTACTAAATTACATCAGGATCCTAAGATCATAATAAAGAAAACCTAAAGTTGTGTGATTCCAGTAAGTTCAGAAACAGATTACTTCAGACTGGTCTCAGATCTGTTTCTGTAAAGATTTAGTTTTATAAACCCTATTTGTTGGTGGTGGTGTTAAGTGCCGTTGAGTCGGTTTCTACTCATAGCAACCCTGAATAGTGTTTCCGAGGAGTGGATAGTGAGTTTGAACCGCCGACCTTGCAAGTGCTTACCCTACAGTGCCGCACCAGGACTCCTATGGAACAGTTTAACTCTATCCTGTATGGATGTTATGAGTCAGAATCAACTCAGTGTCTGGATCATATACTAAGTATTGTTGTTAACTGCCATTAAGTGGATTCCGACCCATAGCAACCCTGTATAGGGTTTCTGAGGAACAGCTGAGAACCACCGACATTGCAATTCAAACCACTTTGTAGTCTGGTGCGTTAACCCACAGTGCCACACCAGTACCCCCATGTTAAGTATGCTTAAAATCATTTATGTAATCCTTACAGCTACATCATGACAAAGGGATCATGCTCACCATTTTATGGATGAGAAAACTGAGGCCCAAGGAGATTTCTAATTTATTCAAAAATACATATCTTGTAACTGGTAAAAATTTGATTAAAAGTCCATGCTAGAAACCATTATAAGGAACTCTGGTAGTGGGTTACAAATCAGGCTGCTAGCTGCAGAATCAGCAGTTCAAAACTACCAGCCACTCTGCAGAAGAAAGATAAGGCTTTCTGTTCCCATAAAGACTTACAGTCTTAGAAACTCTACCCAGGGTCACTATGAGTCAGAACCCACTCAACAGCATACCACCACCACTATAGTAACCATTATATAGCATTACCCCCTCCTTACGATACCCTGAAAGAACATTGTAAGGTACCTATACAAAATACTAAGTGATTTGCTATTATAATAATTATTATTTGTGTATTAATAGTTTGCTTCTGAATGTAAATAAAGAGTTGAATAAAATCCCAATATAGATGTTGTTGTTGTTATGTGCCAACGAGTCACTTCTGACTCAAAATGACCCTGCATAGGGTTTCTGAGGAGCAGTTGGTGGGTTTGAACTGCTGACCTTGTAATTCACAGTCATCTTACAGCACCACACCAAGATATACAGAAACAATATTAGTCTAATGAATATTAAGAAGAATATGGACTACCCAGGAAGGTACTTGTGCATTGTCAAGTGGTCTGTGAAACATGTATGCATGGTATTTTAATTGTTTTCCATGAAAGATGAGAAGGAAACACAAGGATCTGTCATTCTGAGTTTAGCATCAGCAGTACAGTTTCTAATACTATGTAGAGGTTGTCTTGATAATTCCTGAACTTGGGATCAAGACAGCAGTTTTAAATCTGATTCTACCTTTGTAACTGATAAACAGTAAATGCTCATTCCAAAGGAAGCTTGAGAATCTATGTAGACAAAAAATGTATATAATATGGTATCTGGAAGGGACCGTTGGGATCCTGTAGACTAACTTCCTGGTTTCACCAAGGTCCAGAGACAATCAGTGTTCATTAGTTCTCTTCTAACAAGTGACACAGTCTAGACGAAATTTTAAAAATGTTTTCCTACTTCATTGTCCAAGGTTCTCTCTGCTGCATCACACTACCTCCCTACATGGGGCAATTAATAAAAACAGAAGTCCTCTCAGGTGCGAGGCACTTTATGAACATTAGCTCATGTTTTCCACATTTATAGGCAAGAAATAAAATAAGATAACCAGGAAAGAAATCCATAAAGTAGAATGGATAAATAAAATATCCCATATCCACATAACAGACTACCATTCAGTCAGAAAGAGAAATAAAGCCCTGATATAGGCTATGAAGCATGAATCGTGAAAATATTATGTTAAGTGAAATAAGTCAGACATGAGAAGACAGATACTATGTGATGTGATCTCATTTATATGAAATACAGCAAAGTTCATTAGTTGTCCCCAGAGGCAGACAGAGGGAAAAATGGAACATTACTACTTAAAAGGTACTGATTTTCTGTTTCAGGGGATGAAATTAGAGAGTGGTGATGGTTGTACAACATGATGGATGTAATAAATGTTCCTGAAATATATACTTCTTGTTGTTGGTAAGTGTCATGGAGCCAGTTCCAACTCATATAGGGTTTCCAGGGAGCAGCTGGTAGATTTGAACTGCCCTGTGGTTAGCAGTCCAGTGTTTATCCTACAGTGCCATACCAGGACTCTGAAGTACATACTTTAAAAAATGGATAAAATGACAACTGTTCTGTTTTATATATTTTACCACAAGAAAAATTATAAGATAAAATAAAATCCGTAAAAGTAAGCAGAATAAAAGTTTGTGAAGTGTTATAATTTTCTAGGAACCCAGGTAAATTCATTCACAATGTTATGAAATAACGCCCTCAGCTGCCCGTCATGTACAGGCTTACAAGCAGGAAGACATGAGGCCCACAGAGCAGAGAGGAAGAGCTATCAGGGCTGTCTGAGAAAGACCTCAGGCTAAAAGATCTTTGAAAAGGGTCTTGCCAGAAACACTGGTAAGTCGGTTGTTTTTGCTACGTGCCATCGAGTCAGTTCTGACTCATCGTGAGCCTATGCACAACAGAACAAAACACAACACTTCGAGGTCCTGCGTCATCCTCACAATCAGTGTTATGCTTGAGCACACTGCTGTTGCCACTCTATCAATCCATCCTATCACGGGTCTTCCTCTTTTTCACTGACTCTCCACTCAGTACAACCTTCAGTTTTCACCCTCACTTGAAAATAGTTGTTCAAAGTCTGTTTTGCCCACTAAACAGCAAGCCTTTGTCTGACTCACCACTATATACCTAGAACCTAGTATGACACTTGGCATATGTTGTTGTTAAGTGCCATTGAGTTGGTTCTGACCCATAGCGATCCTGTATAGGGTTTCTGAGGAGCGACTAGTGAGCTTGAACCGCCAACCTTGAGTTCAAACAGCTTTGCAGTCTAGCAATATTAACCCACAGCACCACATCAGGACCAGTATCCAATAAATATTTACTAACCGAAATGAGTCTTTGAATGAGTGATGAGTTCTTGAATGAATCAATCAACCCAACCAATGTTTAAGAATATGTTAAGAACCATGGTAACAAGGAAATCTCTCACCTCTTTGTTCTCGTAGCTCTCCACAGCAAAATCATTTTTAACCACAATGTATCTGTCCTTCCATTTTTTTATGTCTTCAGCAAACTGTGATAGCTCTCCTTCATACAAGACAGTTCCAGGCTCCAATGGTGGCTTAAAAAACAATAATGCAATCAATGATCACAAAAATAAGAACAAATAACATAGCTAAGTGTATCCAAGGAGATCCTGACAAGCACAACTGGTTATTAGAATAAGATTGTGACTTGCAAACACTTGGCACTTAGTAAGTGCTTGATGAACTATGAGGGAGACAGAGGAAGTTAAGTCAAGAAACCTTAAGCTGTAGACATTCACCCTAACACCCTGGATATGCCTCAGTGTTAATTCCTGGAAAACCAGGAGCATTCGTTGGCTATTCTCTAATTCCTTCCACCTTCAGGTCCAGCCTTAAGAATCAGTGCTTAATGATTTTCCCAGATCCAAAAACTGATGGAGCTAGGCTATAAACACCTAACCCATCGCTATGTTGTCACTATGCTATGGTACTGTAGGGTCAAGACTGGACTGCAGACCACAAGGTCAACAGCTCAAACCCGTCAGCTGCTCCTCAAAAACCTGTACAAGGTCACCATGAGTCAGAACTGACTCAATAGCGCTTAATGACAACACGCTTCTCAAAAGAGCCCTGGTGGCATAGTGGGTTGTGTGTTAGGTTGTTAACTGCACATTCAATGGTTCAAATCCACAAGTCACTCCAGTTGTTAGCCTGAGCAAAATAAGGCTTTCTGCTACCTTAGAGATTTGTAGCTTAGGAAACCCTATACAGCCTTGCAATGAGTCAGCACGGACTCAGTGGAACACAACGACAACATACTTTTCAAAGGGAACATGTTTGCTTTTTGGTTTAAGAGCAAGTTGGCATCAGGCCGGTACGCCTCAGTTCTGCTTCTTCTATTTGAAAGGTTTAGAATTTTCTCTTAAACCTGGTGAGCTCTGTGCTCTAGGGCAGTGGCAGTTAGACTCCTCATGAGGCCTTCCTTTAGGTTCACTGTGCAACTCCTCCATTATTTCAAACTACAGGAGTGGGCCTCCTGCTTTTTCTTGCTACTGTTAACTGAATATACATGTTTTCCTTTTGTTAAAAATTCATAGTACTTTCAGAAATGTATCTCACTACTTTCAAGGGAAAAAAAACAATGTATGTGAACCAAAGAGAAAAGACAGATGTGCCAATCTCTTTTAAGAGCTGTGTAAGAGATGAAAGGAGCTCTGGTAGCTGTAGCGTAGTGGTTATGAGTCAGGCTGCCAATCTCACGGTCAACACTTCGAAACTACCAGCTGTTCCATGGGAGAAAGATGAGGCTTTCTGTTTCCATAAAGATTTGCAGCCTCAGAAACCCTGTACAGGATCACTATGAGTCGGAACCAACTCCACAGCACACCACAACAACAACAAGGGATGAAATGAATTCCCTTTTAGTTCCGTGCCTAGTATTCGACCATGATAGGGAATGAGACAATGTTCTTTTGTGTGTGTGACTTTAAAAGGGAAGTTTAAGTGTGGCTGAAACCTCATGGAATCAACTAAACTTTATGTAGAGCGTTTCTTAAATATGGCCACTAAAGTCAATTGATTCGCTTCTTTAAAATGTGTCCTACCTGAGATTTAAGCTATCTGAACCTAGGGGGACATAGCCCAGAATCTGCACATTTAACAGGCTCTTCAAAGTTTGGAAAACACTGTCTTATAAGTCTAACAATGTGCCATTCCTATTTACTCAAGCTGCTAACACTATTGGTCAACCTCTTTGTGCTGCCTGACTCATTGACGACTCCCTCTTTGAAACACCTGTTTATTTGCTTTGGGGCACATTATACTTTACTAGTTTTTCTCCTACTTTATCTGAAAGCTATTTCTTCTCACGCTGTCTTGCTGGATACTTTTCTTTTGGATCGCCAAATGTTGGAGGGGCTAGGATTTGCTTGTGGAACTTTTTTCCCCCCTCTCCCCCTCTATATAAATTCTTGTTATGTTCCATGGCTTCAAACACCAGCTATAAGCTGACCATCTCCACATTTCTATCTCTAGCCCTGACTTCTCTACCACATGCCAGGCTAATAAGCTGCCTCTTCCATATCTCCATGATGTATGTCAAACAAGGGTCTCAAACTTAACATGTTCAAAAGTGAACTCATGATTCCTCACCCACCCCAACTCCTCCTTCTGAGTAAAAGGCAACTCCATCCACACACCTTCCAAGGCTAACAACCAAGAAGCTAATCACTGATTTCTTTCTCTCTTCTTCTTTTATCTCATACCCAATCTATCAGCAAATTCTGTTAACTCTGACTCAAATACACCTTGATTTGCCAGTGTTCCTCAACTCCTAGCACTATTACCCTGGTCACACCTGGACTGCCACCTTATCCTCTTCCCAGTTGTTTGTTTCTTCTCTGACCCACAGTCTATTCTCCACAGAAGACAGAAAGGTCATTTACAATTATGTCACTCTGCATGTAGTACCCTCTGGTGACAACTTTCCAACACTTCCTTCTCAGAGCTTACAGTTCCTCCATGATCTGGCCCGCACCTAGTTCTGCCATCATTTCACATCATTCCCTCACTCCACTCACTTGGGGCTATGCCATTACTGCCACAGTGTCTTTGCACAGCTGTCCATCTTCCTGGAATACTCATCTCAGTCAGCTCACATAGACTGCTCCCTTAGTTCACTCCACTTTCTGCTCAAATATTTCCATAGAGAGGGTTCCCCTGGTCATCTAAAATAAGTTTCCTATTTGTTATTTTTAGCATTGCCTGGTAGTACACTACTGATTTATTTGTTTGTTTAATATCTTTATACATTTGAATATAAACTTCAGGAAGGCAACTACTTTGCTCAGTTCCTCTAGTCCTTATTGTTGTTAAGTGTTGTCGAGTAGGTTCTGACTCATAGTGAACCTGTATACAGTTTCTGAGGAGTAGCTAGTAGGTTTGAACTGCCAACCTTATGGTTCGCAGTCTAGTGCCGCTCCACACCATGGAGTCTTTTGTTGTTGTTGTTGTTGTTAAGTGCTGTTGAGTTGATTCTGACTCATAGCAAACCTGTACAGGATTTCCGAGGAGCAGCTTGTGGGTTTGAACTGCCAACCTTCTGATTTGCAGTCCAGTGCTTATTCTACAGCACCACACCAAGAATCCCCAGGAGTCCTTAGAAAACCAAACTTGAAAAAAGAACCTGTTCACTGCAACTCCTAGTGACCCTATAGGATAGAGCAGAACTGCTCCATAGGATTTCCAAGCCCTGCTGGTGCCGTAGGATAAGCACTAGACGGCTCCAAGGGTAAAAGATGAGGCTTTCTGTTCCCTTATGGATTTATAGCCCCAGAAAACCTACACAGGGTCACTGAATAGGATTTAACTCGATGGTAATATGGAGGGATGCCGACTGACAAATCTCTCGCCCACAGATTTACATGGTAGAATTGAATCACAGGCCTTTTAGTACCATCCAAGCACTTAATCACTGTGCCACCAGAGCTATTTGTCCTCGGAATAAAGCCTGGCAAATAGTAGTAGTGTTGGTGTGCGACTGATTCAGTTCTAATTCATAGGGATCCTGAATAGGGTTTTCGAGGCTATAAATTTTGACAGGAGCAGAAAGCCTCGTCTTTCTTCCATAGAGCAAATGGTAGATTCAAACTATTGAGCTTGTGGTTAGCAGCCCAGCTCGAAATGCAGTATACAACCAGGGCTCCTTTGACAAATAGCAGACTCTCAATAAATACCTGTTGAGATTATGGATGAGGAATATAAGGGAGCAAAGGAGAAAGAATTATTTTCGGGGATTAGAAGAGAAAATCATATTAGATCAGTGACCAACATGAAAATACCTCTAGTACAAACCACTGAAATATACACGTTTCCCCTAAAAATTACTCCAGCAACTCAAATTTCCAAGTATCAAAGCATAAATATGGGAAAAAAACATAATAAAATTGGAATCATGATAATTTTCTTTTTATATGGATTACATATGAACAAGAAATCATGTCTTCTAACTTCCAAACCAGTTGAGATTTTTGAGTATTAAATTACTTCAGAGCTGTCACTCAAATTATGATTTATTTCAGGAATATTATGAGTTATGAGGCTTTCCTCAGTGGCAGAAATATGCACACCAAATGTCGTTTGGGTTACCTTGATCTTCAAAATTTGTGATCGTAAATCTCTTTGCTGTTCTACTTCACTTCGTACATGATTGCAGAAGGCCACAGAGTACTGGCGACTGTAGTAGGGGCTGAAGTTTTTGATAGCAGCCTCAGTCTTCCCTGGGAACAAGGGAGAGAAGATTAGAATTTTAAAATTGGAATTAGAAATTAACACAATTATGACCACCAGTTGCAATACAGTCTCTCCGCACCAAAAGAAAACAAAGTTGAGTACGTGTGGCGTTCCTGGATGATGCAAACAGTAAATGTGTTCAGCTGTTAACTGAAAGGTCCATGATTTGAATCCACCCAGAATAGCCTTAGAAGAAAGGTCTGGCAATCAATTTCCAAAAAGTCAGCCATTGAAAATCCTGTGGAGGACAGTTCTACTTGGACACACATGGGGTCACAATGAGCTGGAATCAACTGGAAGGCAATTGGTGATGGTGGTGGATCAATCATGTGTGGTGAACTTGTGGAGCAGAGAGAAAGGCACTAGAAATATTCTTGATCATCTCCGACCATATTTTACTTTGGAGGGTGAGGGAGTGGGAACAGAGAGAAAGGAGAAGGAGAAAGAGGAAAGAAAGGGTAAAAAAGCATTCTGAAGCAAATTTGAAATCCTCATGGCATTTGAAGTATTTTCTACAGAGCAGAGAAATGCAGTTTCCTCTTGCAGCTTACAAGCTGTTAGTCCTCAGAATAAGATGTTAGCTTGAAGAAAAATATACTTGCTGCAACATTCCAGAATGTTTTAAAATATGTTTATGTGAACTGGGCATATTTTTTGTTTTACAAATTTGATATTATAGTCAACAGTGAAACACTAAATTATGACAGGCAAGACTTGTTTAGAACTATTATGTATGGTGTTGGTTAATTGCCATCAAATTGGTTCTGACTCATAGTGACCCTGTATAGAATTTCCAAGGAACGGCTGATGGGTTTGAACCACCGACCTTGTGGTTCAAACCACCCTTGCATGTCCAGTGCTTATCCTCCAGCACCACTCCAGGACTCCATTATACATGCAGAATTTAAAAATAGCTAAATCATTCTAATCACACAGATTGAGGCATTCGAATGGGAACCTTGAGTCTATAGCTACCAGCTTCTAGGCATATGGATTCAGAGCCCAAAACTCCCATAGTACAAAAATACTCTATATAGGAATTCTACTTTTGCTCAAGCATTTAGGTTTCATAATATGTATGAAAAGGTAAAAGGGGATTCTTGGTTCGTCCCTCAATAAAAGTGCCATTGTTGGATATATTGGCTTTAATAATTATAACTTCCAAGGTACTTTGAGACCCATTAATAATAGGTTCTGTAGAAATGCACATAAAAGTTCCTATAATTTGAATCAGGCATGCTTTTACTTGCTTGTGAACTTATGATATTGTTATTAATCAGAAGTATTTGCATAATATATACTTTAATATATTCAGGTTTTATAATCATCTAATTGGTTATTATTTTATTAGCTTTTATATGGTACATAAATAGTGCAATTCTATATTTTTGTTGATAATTTTCTTACATAAAAGGAGGAACCTTTCAAGAATTCCCACAATGAAAATTAATTCCACTTTACTGAGATATATAAATGGTTAACACAATGTGTTCCTTTAGTGCCAAGTAACCACTGTTTCATCCATCAAATGAACAGTCTGCTAATTTCTGATGCTAATTTTTGCACTCTTGCAAACACTTGGGTTGAAATGAAAGGAGCTGGATATCCTTTTATGATGAGCTCAACAAATGTGAAACCAGATTCTCTGCCACATCACCAAGCACCAGGAATGCCCTACCTCTACTGAGGTCATAGGATGCTACCACACCCTCCCACAGATGAAAAGTAATATGCTTCTGTCATTTGAATATCTGCATATGGCGCCATCAATACATCATCCACAAAGCAGCAGTGACAAAAGAAAGGATCATAGCTGTCTTGGGTAATTAAACTAATGTCCCGATGGAAATATGAATAAAATAGCCAACAACATCATTTGCTCTTTGGAAAAAATCACCTAAATCTATACTCAAACAATTTGGATTTCATCTTAAGGAGCCCTGGTAAAGTGGTTACATATTCAGCTGCTAACAATTTGAATCCACCAGATGATACATGGAAGAAAGATTTGGCAATCTGCTTCCCTAAAGACCATAGTCTTAAAACCCTATGGGTAAGTTCTACTTTGACCTACATGGTTGCTGTGAGTTGGAATTGCCTTGATAGCAATGGTTTTAAAATGAAATAAGTAAGTTCCTTAAGTAAGGACCTCAAGAATTAGTGCATACCGTGGTGTTTGGGCAAAATTGCACTGTGATGAGGAAGATGGACTCTGCAGTGAAAAAGACATGTATGAGCTCAAGACACATCTCTGTTATCTACCAGCTTGGTGTCTCATGCATGTTACTTCCTGTTTAGGCTCATGTATAAAATGATGATACAAGAGAAACAAACCTATAGGATTGGTGTAATGATTACATAAAACTATGACTGGCACATAGGTAGTAATTAAATCAATAATAATAATGGTAATAATGGAGTATTCAGGCCAAGAATCAGAGGTGAGTCCTGAAGCTGAACCCAGAGTCAAAAAGAAGCCAAAGAACAGGTTCTCTACTATGACTCTTGTTGTTGTTGTTGTTAAGTGCCATTGAGTTGGTTCTGCCTCACAGTGACCCCATATAGAGTTTCTAAGGAGGAGCTGGTGGGTTTGAACTGTTATTAACTGAGGTCAATTTGTGCTGCCGTACACAGAACAGCTATCCCACCCATTATAGAGTCCAAATGCCACCTATCATTTCGCAAGTGTTTCAGAACACTTCTCAGGACATATCACACTAAACCCACTGCCATCAAGTCGATTCGATCTCACAGCCATCCTAGGTCCTACAGGACAGAGTAGAACTACTAACATTTAGGTAAGCACTGAGAGCTTTAATGACTGCACCACCAAGGCTTCTCATCAGCACATAAGAGGCACTCAATGCTTCCCTAAATTGAAACCAACAAATTAAAACGTTGAGTCCTGGTGGGGCACTACAGGATAATGCACTGGACTGACTGCAAGGTCCATTTGAACCACAAGGTTGGTGGTTCAAACTCACCAGCCACTCCTCTTAAACTCTTTACAAGGTCACTGTGAGTCAGAACTGACTCAATGGCACTTAACAACAACTAAAATATTAGCATTAATGAGCTAAAGCAAACAGCATGAATTACGAGCTATGTTATGTTGTGTCTTTTTCCCTAGGCCTCAATTTTCTCATCAGTAAAATGGGGATGTTGTTGTTAAATGCTGTTGAGTTGGTTTCTAAGAAGTGGCTGGTGAATTTTAACAGCCAACTTTGTGGTTCAGATCGACCTTTTGGTCCAGTGCTTATCATATAGCACCACACCAAGGAATAAGGTACCTATATTACAGGGCTATGGTAAGGATTAAATGAGAGAGTCTGCAGGTAACAATGTGCAAAGTAATGCCTGACACATAGTAGTTACTCAATAACTTTTAACAATTATTAAATATTCCACCACAAAAGCATTCAAATAAGTAGATCAGCCCATAGGCACCACATAAAATAACCTCAAATGAGATCTTGTTTTTCACACAGTTTTCAAGATTCTTAAATACTGAGTTTCCCTCATTTCCCCTCTAAATTGAGTATCACATTTTCCTTCCTAAATTGTTTGTAAAACTCAAGGCCAAGCCTTCCACTAAAAGGAGATTACTCAATAACAGAAAGACTAGAACCAATGGAAGGGCTACTTTAACATTTGGTATACCAGCATTTTGGAATAGGCACTTTTCTTCTAATCTGCTTCATTTAATTTTATTGCAGTCTGTGCTAGGCATTGTTTGGTATAAATTACTTAACCAGGGCTATTCATAACCCCATTCAGGGTAATCAATGCTAAAACCAAAAGAAGCCTCTTTGACAGTTCTATCTTTAGCTTCAGTTCAAGTTTGTAAAAGTAAGAAAAACATCTACTGGTCCTTTATAAACCATTTAAATCCACACAGGCTAAAAAATTCAGCACTTTCTTTTGACTGCTTCTCCCTAGTTTTCATATTCAATTATCAGATATTTTTACTTCTAATTGCACAATATTTTTGAGTCCATCTTTTTGTCTCCCTCCAAGCTTCCGTACCTTCTTCAATCAAGCCTTGATTATCTTTCAACAACGCTGTATAAATTTCTCAATCTGTTCTAACTCAGCCTACAGGGTCACTATGCATCATTATCAACATGATGAAAGTGAGTTTGGTTTTTTTGGTTTATCTCAGCATCGGGCCATGTCAAAATGGCTCACTAGCTGTTAGCTCTAAAACTAGAACAAAAGAGTCAAACCCAAGATAGCTGAAGGGAATCCCCAGGACTGAGATACACAGACCCTGAGGATTGTGGGAAATAAACCAAAGTTTGGTTTATGTGGCAGAGGTGGAGTCTGGGAAGTAGTTAGAGTAGGGGGTGGAAAAGCAAAACAGGAGAGGATGAATCAAAGCTAGTACCATAATCTTACTCAAGATAAAAACTGGCATAACTCATGTTCGGGTGTTGGTAAGGGCAATATACAAGAAGAGCGAGGGGGTGGAAGAACACGGTAGACAGGGGAACACTGAGACAGGTTTGCATGGGCTAAATGGGACAGAGGTAAACAGTGATGCATGCTCAACCTTGGACTAACAGGGCTCTGTAATACAGGGATTGAGGCATAATCTGAACAGAAGAAATAATACTAAAATGCTTGATTGTATTATGAATATTGGTTTCCTTTGCCTACCATTGTAAAATACACTTGAGTGGGACATAAAGGGATGTCAGGAAACATGATTACAGAAAGCTTGTAAGCCCGTCTTCAGCCTATAACTGATTGGGATACCTCTAAGAAGTTTTACAACTCTCCCAGTGAAATAGGCCTCTTGAGGAGCTTTTGCAGTATATAGGACCGTAGGTGGAATCCAGAACCTTCTGAAGTGGGATATTCCCACTAGAAAGGACAAGCAGACCAGCCTGGAACATCTAGAGTGACAGAAGATATGTCTTCAAAGAAAGATCATCAGGAAAAACCCAAAACAAAAATGGCAATATGACTGGCTACTACAAGAATA